CTCTTGTCTCAACCTCCCAAAGTGCTGGGATTATAGGCTGAACCACTGCACCTGGGTTATTATGCAGCTTTTAAAACGTGCTTATTGACAATTAGTATACCATCTTTGGAGCAATGTCTGTTCAAGTCATTTGCTCATTTTATTTTATTTATTTATTTTTTGAGTTGGAGTCTCACTCTGTCACCCAGACTGGAGTGCAGTGGCTGCTCCCGGCCACTGCAGCTTCGACCTGCTGGGCTCCGGCGATCCTTCCACCTCAGCCTTCCAGTAGCTGGAACTACAGGTGTGCACTACCACGCCCGGCTAATTTTTTGATTTATTGTAGAGATTGCCATAGCAGACAGGAAAGTGTCTATTTTTCTCTTTGCTGACAGTCCGACACGGAATGGTTGGTTTCAGGAGGAACAGTTTCAGTGTCAAGTATGCTGTTTATAGTATTTTTAGAATGTGTTCCTGTTTATAGAGTTCTGTTAAACAGATAAATCTAGTTATGTTCCAGGGATTCTGAGGGTTCTCATTGGAGAGGGTTAGTTATCACAAAGTCGGTTGTTATCAAGTGAGTTTGGCCCTTGATGCTCACTTGCACCTTCCTCTTGGCCTTGGCTTGACCCTCACCAGGTGTTGGCATCATGCTCTTGAACTTCCAGTCTACATAACCGTGAACCAAATACACTTCTATTCTTTATGTTGCCCTGTCTTTGGCATTCTGTTATAGCAGAAGAAAATGGACCAAGACAGATGTTTTACTTTTTAACTTATTTTTTACTTTATTTTTTGTAGAGAAGAGAGCTCACTATATTTCCTAGGCTACTCTGTAAATTTGAGGCTCAAATAATCCTTCCGCTTCAGCCTCCTGAAGTGCTGGGGTTACAGGCATGAGCCACTGGACTCAATTTTTAAATTGAAATGAGGTTTTACTGTGTTGTCCAGGTTGGTCTAGAACGCCTGAGGTCAAGTGATCCTCCTGTGTCAGCCTCCTGAACAGCTGGAATTATAGACATACTTGCTTTCTTAAAAAAAAAAAATAGTTATGTAGTCCTATTAATTTCTTTGCTTATGCCTTGCTGACAGGAAAATCAGTTTTAAACCATTATGTTTAACCTAATTTTTTTATTTGCTGGCCTTGTTTTTTATTTGATCTTTCAAAAATAACTTTATTGAGGTATAGTTTATATACCATAAAAATAAACCACTTAAACCATACAACTGAATACATTTTTAGTAAATTTACAGAATTGTGATGCTATCATCACAATGCAATTTTAGAATATTTTCATTCATAAAAGATTCCTTTTCCCAGCCCCAGGCAATCACTAATCTACTACTTTCTGTCTCTATAGTTTTGCCTATTCTGAATATTTTATGTAAAAAGAACAATGCAATTTTGTTTGTAGCCTTCTGTCACTGGCTTTCATCAATGAGCATGTTTTCAAGGAAAATCCATATAACAGCATGTATCAGTACGGGTCTCCTTGACTTATGATGGAATTATGTCCCTCTGATAAACTCATCGTAAGTCAAAAATATTGTAAGTAAAAAATGCATTTAATATCTTGATAAACCCATTGTAAAGTTTTTTTTTTGGACACGTGTGACAAATTTAATTCCCTGTTCTCTGTCTCACAAAGATTTCTCACATTTTTGTACAAAAACCCAGGCTTCCCTTTCCCCTCCCTCCCTGTCCCAATATGAAAATTAATTGGTTTTTTTTGAGTTGGAATCTCACTCTGCTGCCCAGGCTGGGGTGCAGTGGCATGCTCACGGCCACCACAGCCTGGACCTGCTGGGCTCAGGCGATCCTTCTGCCTCAGCCTTCCAAGTAGCTGGAACCACAGGCATGTCACCATGCCGGGTTAATTTTTCTTGATTTATTGTAGAGATGAGGTCTCCCATGTTGGTCTCAAACCCCTGGGCTCAGGAAATCCTCTCATTTCCGCCTCCCAAAGTCCTGGAATTACAGGCATGAACCACTACACCTGGCTACAAAAAGTAATTGTTTGATAAGTAATATATACTCCCGCCCAGGCCCAGAGGGGTAAGGTGCCAGAGGTAGGGGTCTGTGGCAGACTTCTCAGAGATCTGAGTCTGGGACCCCAGTTTCCTTCTCCTTGGGGACCCAGGAGTCTATCGGTGTCCCATCCCCCTCAAATAAATAAGTATAAATAAGGCACAGAAGAACACCCCCACATCTCGTGGAAGGACTATCTCTAACTAAGGGGAGGTAGTGGGGGGAAAGATATCACCTGGCTTCTACAGCCCCAGTACCAAAATGAATAAACAAACCAATACATACATACAAAAAAAAAAAATCTGGCTTTGGTTTTGAAGGACAGTGGTGGCTTTGGCTTCACAACCGACTCTTCATCAGCAGCAACAAGGTCTGCCCCGCCCAGCTGAGCGTCAAGTGCAGGCCCCTGAAGATGGAGTGGACTGCCTGGACACCGCCCCAGGCCAGGTCGGGGGTGGGGGACTATGGAGGGGTGTAGGGGCGCCAGCGGGGCTGGGGGCGTCTGGGGACAGGGCCAGGTGGGACTTCAGGAGCTGCAGTCAGCACAGCAGCGGGTCCAGCCTGGACTGCAGGGCACCCAGCTCAGGTTCCAGGGTCTTCTGGAACCAGCCACCAGCCCGGGGCAGCCATTGTATATGCTGTCGGTAGGAGAGCAGGTCAGCTCCCAGCGCCCCCATGCCCCCGTGCCCCCCGCGCTCATGGCCAAGGTGGGGAGGGAGTCCAGGTTGTGGTCCCCTTCGGTTGGGAATTGGTCTCAACTGGGTCGCCAGCTGCCGAATGTCCACCAGCAGGGAGAGGGTCAGGAGGATGGTGCTGTCCAACTCGGCTCCAAAGTCTGGGGACGCTGGAGAGGGGGCCCAGGAGCAACAGGTCTATCTGGCTACAGGTTCAGCATGACCAGGACCGGGCAGCAAACACCTGGAGGCAGTGGGAGACAGAGCTCAGGCTGGACCCCTGGGTCTGAGGGAGGTGGTGTCACGACTCTTGGGTCTGAGGGAGGAGGGGGAGCTGGACTCTGGGGCCTGAGGAAGGAAGGGGAAAGAAGTCCTGGGTCTGAGGGAGATGAGGGAGCTGGACTCCTGGATCTGAGGGAGGAAGCACTGGGGCTTGGACCTCGTTCCTTTTCATTGCTGAATAATATTCCATTGTATGGATATACCACATTTTGTTTATCCATTCGCTAGTTGATGGACATTTGGATTGTTTCCAGATTTTGGCTATTATAAATAATTTTCTTGTGAACAATCATGTACAAGTCTCTGTGTGAATGTGTGTTTTTATATTTTCTTGAGTAAATACCTAGAATTAGAATTGCTGGATCTTATGCTTAGTCTATGTTTAACTTTTAAAGAAACTGTTTTCCAAAGTAATTGCACCATTTTACATTTCCCCCAACAATGTAGGAGGGCTCCAGTGTCTCCACGTCTGCACCAACACTTGTCATTGTCTGCCTTTACAATTACGTGTAGTCATTTTAATGGGTGTGCAGTATCTCATTTTAGCTTTAGTTTACCTTTCCCTAGTAACAAATGATGTTAAGTTGTCTTCATGAATTTATTGGCCATTCATACGTGTTCTTCAGTGAAATGTTTATTCAAATCTTTTGCCTATTTTTAAAAACTGAGGTTTCTTCTTACCATTGAATTGTAAGAGTTCTTTATAGATTCTGGATACAAGTCCCTTATCAGATATATGATTTGCAAATATTTTCTCCCAGTATGTGACTTGTCTTCCTATTTCCCTAGTGATATCTTTTGAAGTGTAAAACTTTTTTATTTTGATGAAGTCCAATTTGTCAAAAACATTTTTTTTTATCGTGTCGATCATGCTTTAGCAAAGAAATCAGCCTAATGCAAAGTTACAAAGAGTTTCTTCTATTTTTTTTTTTCCCTACTGATTGTGTGGTTTTAGCTCTTATGCTTGGGTAAGAGCTGTTAGGTCTGTGATTCATTCTGAGTTAAGTTTTGTAAATTCTGTGAGGTGAGGGTTTGAATCCATCTGTTTTCTTGTAGCTCTTTAATTATTATAGCACCATTTGTTGAAAAGATGGCTTGCCTTTTGCTGACGCTGCTTTTATTTTGTTTTATTTGTGACTCTACAGAAAAGGAGAAGTAGGTAGAATTAATTCAGTAGTAGAAAGAATGAATTTATGAGGGAAGATACAGCTGCCCTTCTGTGTTGAAGTTCTAAACACCTCGATGAGAGAATCAGCTTCTGGCTGATGTTTTGAGAATGACTTGAACCACAGTTTTCCTTTGTTTGTTTCATTCGTCTCCCTCCATCCCTCCCCAACCCGGCACCGAACATCTGCTTCTCTCCTGTGAGAGGAAGTGAAAGATTTAGGGCAGGCATTAAAAAAAGCTATCTTTACTGAACTGTTCCTTCTTAAAAAAAAAAAAAAACAACAAAAAAACCCACCCTGTGGGGTCAGTTTAGCCCTGAATTAGTCTATATCAACAATTCTATTGTGATTTTTGGAAGTTGGCTTTTCCCAGGAAGCAGAACTGCTGGGTCTGGGTGTTATGAAATCAACCTAGTGGGCACTTTAAAGGATGCTGACAGGCGTCAAGAGAGACCATTCTGCAAGTATCACAGGACTTTTCCTTACTAATGAATTTCCTTTTAATTTTATTTTGTAGAGGAGGGGGTCTTGCTATGTTGCCCAAGCTGGTCTTGAAATCTTCAAGTAAGCTTTCTACATTGACCTTCCAAAGCACTAGGATTACAGGGCATGAAACACCATACCTAGCCTCTTTACTAATGCATTTTTTATAAGAAATATCATAAGAGAGTATTACCAGAGCTGAGATCCTCCGCTTTGAGGTCCGACATGTATCTATGGTGCTGGGTAGGGGTAATTTCAAATAAAAATAGGTTCAGTTGACTGACACCAGCATCCTTGGGGAAGTCTACCTCTAGGAAGACATCACTCCACTTCTGGTTCAGGTCTTCCTCCAGTGAATGCGTGGACCACGGTGCTGGGCTGGGCAGGATGATCACCGACATGCAGCTCGCCATCTTTGCCAACATGCTGGGCATGTTGCTTTTCCTGCTGGTCGTCCTCTACCATTACGTGGCTGTCAACAACCCCAAGAAGCAGGAGTGAAGGGGTGCGCCCCGCAGGGTTCCAGGACATAGTCTGAGGCAAGATGGAGGGCATGAGGGACCCTCACACTTCGCCTCCTCCTCCTGCCCATCACCACACACAAAGCAACCACAGCTGGATTTTCCAAACAACTTTTATTTCCTCAAAGTCTTCCCTGACCCCATGGAACAAGAAACTGCCACTGAGCAGAACCCAGTAGAGGGCTGCTTGCTTTTTATTCCCTCCCTCCCCATATAAAAATATAGATATAATCTTCAAAAAAGAAAAAAGAAAAAGAAAGATATCATTCATTCTGCTGTCTTAAGTCTCTATAGGGGACAGGATGATTATATCTTCCATTGTGAACATTTACTGGGTTCCTTTGCTTTATGATGCCAACCTAGCAACTATAACTGGAGTACTTTTCTACTCCAGCCTGACAGAGATCCCTTATAGTCAGGGTTGTGGCATAATCATCATGATAATAATGACAACAATCATAGCTAATATACATATAGCACTTACTATATACCTGCCAGTCTTTTCCTGCCTTACATATATTATCTCACCTAACTGAGCTTTAAGTGAATACATTAAAATGCACTGTTGGAGTGAGTGGTGGTGTAGAAGGAATTGAGATGCTATTTGGGTGTATGAGAAATGTCCTCTTGTAAAAGAGCTTTGAGATCAAGAAGGAAAACCTTGAGATAATACTTGTGGGATTAAGTTGAACAGCAGGGCCCTTTTAGGGCCCCACAAATTTTTTCAGCTCTAGAACTCATCTGAGACAAATGTTAGAGTGAAAAAACATTGGTCTTCATTGCTCTGCTTTGGTTAGATGCATTCTTTTGATCTCTTTCTTCTAGAACCTCCAGAATCCCCACCCTCCTCCTTCTCCAGGCATTCTACTTTAGTGCCCGCTTTCCTCGGTGTGGCATGGGCCATTCTCCAGCTATCTAGGTTTGTCCCTGGTAGATTGGGTCCTCGTTGAAACTTTCCTGCCCTGCCTTTAAACATGGCAGCTATTTGCTAGAAGGGGGCTGATTTAGCATTAAGGAAAAAGTCCTTCAAAATTTCAACCTACTGCTGGGCTGGAACCAAAAATGTCACTAAGTTTCATACTTCATTAATAGGCATTATGCCTTTCTTGAGGCTGTTAGTCAGTTTTTTACATTTATAAGATTCAGAAGCAAGTTGTCTGGGAGGAAAGAAAAGGAGAGGGGGAGACTTGGGGTATAGGGTGTTTGAAACAAGGAGAAGGTCTGAAAAGGAAGAAAAAATTGGAGAGCCTTTGTCCAGCTCAACTTTTTGCTGAGGTCTTTCCCTAACAGAAGGGCTAATGGAGATGTAGGTAGGTACTTCATTGCTGCTGCCAAGTCACATTAACATTGTTAACTGGCCTTCTACAAACCATGCAGCCATCTTTGTTGTCTAACACAGGGGAATGCCTCAGATGGTGGGAATGTCCAGACAGATAAGAAAGAGTCAAGTTATGCCAGTGAGGATGGGCAGCTAGTTTTCGGCAGCTGTTGTCTGGTAGAAACAGGAAAATTATGCCTTAGATAGAAATCTCCTTCACTGATGCATTAAGATGAACCTCAACAAGCTGGCTATTTGATCAAGATGGTCTTAAAGCTCCCCTCAGCTTAACTAAACTTGGACAGGCTTCTTTCCAGCTGTAGGCCCCTGACCTCCCCTTTCTTAGATCATTTACTTTCTTTCTTTTTTCTTTCTTTTTTATCATAGAGCTGTGGTTAGATGGAAGAGCATTTAGTTTAGAAAGCTTGCAATTGTAAATTCTTTCTCTGTCCCTTTGAGATATAAATCTTTTCCCAGCCTCTTGCCAGTTTTACAATCCAGGAATGTCTTTCTAGAAGACCTGGGAACATCACTTTGAAACGTAGTTATCTACCTCCATCCCTATCCTCTCCAGCATTGGTTGCTTTTTGAGTTATTGATGGTGGTCATTCTGACTGGAGTTAGGTGGTATCTCAGTGCGGTTTTCATTTGCATTTCTCTGATGATGAGTGAGGCTGAGCATTTTTTCATGTTTCTGTTGGCTACTTGGCTGTCTTCTTCTGAGAAGTGTCTATTCATGTATTTTGCCCACTTTTTAATAGGGTTGTTTGTTTTTTCCTTTCAGCATGTTTGCACATTTGAGTTTCTTGTAGATCCTAGATGTTAGGCCTTTGTCAGATATATAGTTGGCAAATATTTTTCCTAATCTGTGGGCTTCTCCATGCTCTCTTGATGGTTTCTTTCTTTGCAGAAGTTTTTCAGTTTGATGAGGTCCTGCTTGTCTATCTTATTTCTTATGGCATGGCCATCTGGGGTTTTGACCAGGAATTGGTTGCCAATTCCAATTTCCATAAGGGTGTCTCCTGTGTTTTGTAATATTCTTATAGTTTGAGGTTTTACATTTAGGTCTTTGATCAATTTAGAGTTGATTTTTGTGTATAGTGATAGGTAGGGATCCTGCTTCAATCTTCTGCATGTGGTCAGTCAGTTTTCCCAGCACCATTTACTGAATAGGTCCTCCTCTCCCCAGTGGTTGTTGGTGGAAGATATATCTGGAGGAACTCAAATCACTCTGAAAAATACCTGCACATGCATGTTTATTGCAGCACTATTCACAATAGCAAAAACATGGAGCCAACTGTTCTGCCCATTGAAAGTGTACTGGATAGGGCAGCCCCTTTGGGTCCCCTCCCACTGTGGGAGATTTTCTGTCCTCTCAATAAATCCTGCTTTCTTAAAAAAAAAAAAAAAAAGAATATGTACTGGATAAAAAACTGTGGTACATATACATGATGGAATATTATACAGTCATAAAGAAGGACCAAATTATGGACTTTGCAACAATTTGGATGGAGTTAGAGTCTATAATACTCAGTGGTTTATCACAGAAACAAAATCTGAGTACTACATGTACTCACTCATAAGTGGATCCTGAACATTTATCATAACACTATAAGAAAGGGATTGGCAGTAGGGGGACACTTCCAGGGGACAGGGGGGCG